GCCGCCGCTTGCACTTTCGGCGCGGAGCTTCGCCGGTGGGCTGCCGCTGGCGCAGCAGTTCCACAGGGGTCTGGTATTTGCCTTCGGCATTGGAAAGCAGCACTGCGAGGGCGCTGGCGCGGCAATCCCATGGTTTCCCGCGGGCCTGGAGCGAGTGGCTGCGCCGTCGGGCTCCTCGCTGACGGCGACGCGCGCGGCAGTTACATTCGCCCGCGGCTTTGGGTTTCGCCTTTGGGGTCGCCCCCCCGCTGAAGCGATTGCAATCATCGACGCAGCCGCCTTCGGCGCGAGCTTCGGGCGGCTGGAGGGGGAGCGCGAGGGGGTGGGTCTGGCACCCCCTCGCTACGATGCGCGCGCATGGCTGCGGCAGCACCTCCATGGCAGAGCCCGTGGAATGCCTTGGGGGGCCCTCTGGCAGCGCTGGGAGAGCGCCTGGAGCTTCCCCCAGAGCCCTGGGACCCTGGAACCGCCTGGGCACGCTTGGGAGCGCGCGGGAGCGCATGGGAGCGCCGCGTGGCGCCTTGGAGCGCTTGTGGGTGCTTAAGAGCGCGTGGGAATGCTTGGGCGCCTGGGAGCACCTGGGAGCGCCGGGGAGCGCGTAAGAGTGCTTCGGAGTTGTGGCAGCGCTGGGAACGCTGGGGAGCGCCTGCGAGCGCCTGGGAGCGCGCCAGGAGCGTGCCGGGACCGCCTGGGAGCGCCTGCGAGCGCTTGGAGGCGTGCCGGGAGCGCTAGGGAGCGCCTGGGAGCGCCTGGGAGCGCCTGGGAGCGCAGCCAGCGCGCGCCTGGGAACGCGCCTGGGGGCGTGCCGGGAGCGCCCAGGAGCGCTTGGGAGCGCTTGGGAGCGCCTGCGAGCGCCTGCGAGCGCCTGCGAGCGCCTGCGAGCGTGCAGAGAACGCCTGGGAGCGTGCCGAGAGCGCCTGAAGCGCCGTGGAACGCTTAAGAGCGTGCCTGCATGGGCGCATGCGCGCGCTGGCTGCGATCCCCCCCACATCAGGGTTGTTGGGGGGGATCGCTGCCCAAGCCGCGCGCGCTATGAACTTGCACTCCCGCCCCAGACCACCCAGAGTGAAGCCTTTTAGGGTTTAGGGTTTCTCCCCCCAACCCCCCTATCACGGGGGGCTGTCGAAGTGGCGCGCGCAGGCGATCGCCGACGCGGCCGTGGCATTGCGCATCCACGTGAGCACGCGCGCAGGGCTGCCCCTGGCGCAGCATGTCCGTGCGTTGCCGCCTTTGCCTTCGGCACTGGGTTGTGACACTGGGGTGCGAATGCTGGGAAGCGCGCGCGCGGTCGCGGCCGTGGCAATGCGCGCCCATGCGGGCACGCGCGCAGGGTGCATGGCGCTGGCGCGTCAGCTCGCCTCGTCGATGAGGCAGCTGTCTGTTGCGCCTTCGGCAGGGGGCTTCGCCGTTGGGCTGCCGCTGGCGCAGCAGATCCACAGGGGTCCGCATTTGCCTTCGGCGTTGGAAAGCAGTACTGCGAGGGCGCTGGCGCGGCAATCCCATGGGCCCCCGTGGGCCTCGAGCGAGTAGCCGCGCCGTCGGGCTCCTCGCTGACGCCGACGCGCACGGCAGTTGTATTCGCCCGCGGCTTTGGGTTTTGCTTTGAATCGCCCCCGCTGAAGCGATTGCAAGCATCGACGCAGACGATGTCGACGCGAGCTTCGGAAGGCGGGAGGAGGAGCGCGAGGGGGTGGGTCTGGCACCCCCTCGCTACGATGCGCGCGCATGGCTGCGGCAGCACGTCCATGGCAGACCCCCTGGAATGCCTTGGGGGAGCTCTCTGGGAGCGCTGGGGGAGCGCCTCGACCTTTCCCCAGGATGGAAGCACGTGGGAGCGTCTGGGAGCGCGACAGGACACGCAGAGTGCACCGCGAGCGCGAGCCGTGAATTGCCCGTTGGGCTTGACCGTTGGCGTCGCCCCCGCTGAAGCGATTGCATTGTCGACGCAGCCGCCTTCGGCGCGAATTTCGCATGGCTGGAAGGGGGAGCGCGAGGGGGTGGGTCTGGCACCCCCTCGCTACGATGCGCGTGCATGGCTGCTGCAGCACCTCCATGGCAGACCTCTTGGAATGCCTTGGGAGAGCTCTCTGGGAGCGCTGAGAGAGCGCCTCGAGGTTTCCCCAGGATGGAAGCACGTGGGAGCGTCTGGGAGCGTGACAGGACACGCAGAGTGCACCGCGAGTGCGGGCCGTGGGTTGTCCATTGGGCAGGACCGTTGGCGTCGCCCCCGCTGAAGCGATTGCATTGTCGACGCAGCCGCCTTCGGCGCGAATGTCGCATGGCTGGAGAGGGAGCGCGAGGGGGTGGGTCTGGCACCCCCTCCCTACGATGCGCGCGCATTGCTGCGGCAGCACCTGCATTGCGGGGGAGTGCCGGGAAGCGCCGCCAGGGAGCGCTGCCGAGTGCTTGCGAATGCATGAAAACGCTTGGGAGCGCCATGGGACTGCCTGAACTGCGTAAACGCGCTTGGGAACGCCGGGGGGCGCTTGGGACCACCTGCGGGAGCTTGGGAGCGCATGGGAACGCCTGGGAGCGCTTGGGAGCGTGCTGGGAGCGTGCCGGGAGCGCTTGGGAGCGCGCCGGAGCGCCTGGGAGTGCTTCCGAGCGCCCCGGAGCGCTCGGTGGCGCCAGGGAGCGCTTGGGAGCGCTTGGGAGCGCCTGAGCAGGCTGGGAGCGCCTGGGAGCGTGCAGGGAGCGCTTGGAAGTACCTGGGAGCGCTTGGGAGCGCCAGGGAGCGCCTGGGAGCGCCTGGGAGCGTGCCGGGAGCGCTTGAGAGCGCCTGGGAGCGCCATGCGCCTGGGAGCGCTTGGGAGCGCTTGGGAGCGTGCCAGAAGCGCCGGGGAGCGCTTGGGAGCACCTGGGAACGCTCGGGAGCGCTGGGGAGCGCCTGGGAACGCTTGGGAGCGCCTGGGAGCGCTTGGAAGCGCTTGGGAGCGCTTGGGAGCGCCTGGGAGCGCGCCGGAGCGCTTGGGAGTGCTTCGGAGCGCTCCGGAGCGCTCGGAGGCGCCGGGGAGCGCTTCGGAGCGCGCAGGGAGAGCCTGAGCAGGCTGGGGGCGCCTGGGAGCGTGCAGGGAGCGTTTGAAGGACCTGCAAGCGCTTGGGAGCGCTTGGGAGCTTGCCGGGAGCGCCTGAGAGCGCCTGGGAGCGCCATGCGCCTGGGTGCATTGGGAGCGCTTTGGAGCGTGCCGAAAGCGCTGGGAAGCGCTTGGGAGCGCCTGGGAACGCTTGGGAGCGCCTGGGAGCGCCTGGGAACGCTTGGGAGCGCCTGGGAGCGCCTGGGAGCGCCTGGGAGCGCTTGGGAGCGCTTGGGAGCGCCTGGGAGCGCCTGGGAGCGCCTGGGACGTGCGCCAGCCGAAAGGACGCCGCATATTGTATGTTCATATGGTTTGCGGCTCCACGGACGGCCGAAAGAGCGCCGCATGCTGTATTTTCATAGGTTTGGAGCCCCAGGGGATGTAGGCGCGCGCAGCGAACCCACTGGCTGGGTTTTGGGTTAAGGGTTCTATTCATCTCTCGGAGCACTCACAAGGCATCCCCGCGGGGCGCATCCTCCTCAGCGCTACGCGCTTCGTCGGTGCGGCGTGCGCGCATGGGCGGACTCGCTGATCGCTCGGCCAGGCGCCACGGGCTTCTGACGATGCACCGCCCGTGGCTTGCAGTTTAGGGTTTAGGGTTTAGGGTTTAGGGCTTCTCTTAGCGCAGCGGCCGACAGTCACGGCAATGCTGCCCCCCCTTCGGCAAGCTTGATTGGGGGGGCGGTTAGCCGACCCGAGCAAGCTTGGCGAAGGGAGCAGGAGTTGCAACATCTTCCCACCCCCGGCCGCATGGCCGGCGACCTCCCCAACTAAAGCCTTTTAGGGTTTAGGGCCGCTGGCCCCTAAATTCCCAAATGACTCCAAGCGCTCCCAGGCGCTCCAAGGCGCTCCCATGCGCTCGCAAGCGCACCCAGGCGCTCCCAGGCGCTCCCAGGCGCTCCCAAGCGCTTTCAGGCGCTCCCAGGCGCGCCCAGGCGCTCCCCGGCACGCCCTCCTAGGCGCTCCCAGGCGCTCGCAGGTGCTCCCAGGCGCTCCCCGGCGCTCCCAGGCGCTCCCCGGCGCTCCCACGCGCTTCCCCGCGCTCCCACGCGCTTCCCGCGCTCCCAGGCGCTCCCAAGCGCTCCCAAGCGTTCCCAGGCGCACCCAGGCGCTCCCAGGCGCTCCTCCCAGGCGCTCCCCGGCGCTCCCTCCCAGGCGCTCCCAAGCGCTTCCCAAGCGCTCCCAGGCGCTCCCAGGCGCTCCCAGGCGCCCCCAAGCGCTCCCAAGCGCTTCCAGGCGCTCCCAAGTGCGCCCAGAAGCGCTTAGAGCGCCCCACACGTGTTTTTACGTATCGGAGACATGTAGAGCACCATCCGAGGACGAAAGGTCCCCGGGTTTAGGGTGTTGTACTCTTCGAAGATCAAGCATGGTTTATCATTGCATCGTAGATCCACAAGCGTGGGGTTAGGTAGCCCTAGGCTACCAGGACGACCCAGTCGGGCAACCAGCTGAAGCATCTCAGAGAAGCCCTGTCTCTCGTAGACGGCGACGGTGATGCGCGGTGGGGTGGGCAGAAGCACAACGAGGTGCTTGGGAATTTAGGGTTTAGGGTTTAGGGTTTAGGGTTTAGGGTTTGGGGTTTAGGGTGTCCTCTGTCAGCGCTTGCTGATCATCAATCGTGTAAGACCACCCCCACCCATAAAATAGAGTGGGGGTGGGTTAGTCGTGTTGAGGTGACATCATGTTGAGCGGAATCATGTTTCGGCTACGGGGCCAGCTCCCCTTTTCACACTCCCACCCCGCGCCCGTTAGGGCGGCGAACCACCCACGGCTTTCTCTATTAGGGTTTAGGGTTCATTCGGTAATCGGGGTTCTCTTTCTCTTAGGGCTCCACGATTCCAATCGGTTTGGCGATCTTGCTAATGGGTTCGACATACAATTCTTTGTGTATCACACGTACACAGATACCCTCCGAGGTCTTAAGATATGCGCAATCCTGGGTTTAGGGTTGACGCTTTGCGTCGGGGGAAAGAGTTTGGGGTGGAACGCCGCGCGGGCGTTTGATTGTGCGCTTGTGGCGCCGGCTCCGCTCGCTTCGCTCGCTCCGCCGATGCCGCTCCCTTTGAAGTATGAAATCCAATTGGCGCGCCGAGGAGCGCCCTGGGCGCTGGGCGGCAGCTGAGTCACCGTGAATGGCGCCTGGGGTGCCCTGGAAGGCGTTGAGAAAGGCTTGGAGGGCCCTCAGGAGGGCTCCTGGGGCGCTCCTGGGTGGCTCCTGAAGAGCTCCTGAAGGGTAATGGGGGTCCTGGTGGGCTCCTGGAGGGCTTGGGGCGGAGCTAATTCACCGTGGCGCGCGCCCTGGGAGGGCCCTGGGGGGCTCCTGGGGTGCTCCTGGGAGGGCTCCTGGGAAGCTCCTGGAGAGCTCCTGGAGAGCCTCGGGCGGGAGCTAATTCACCGTGGCGCGCGCCCTGGAGGGGCCCTGGGTGGCTCCTGGGGGGCTCCTGGTGGGCTCCTGGGGAGCTCCGGGTGCTCCTGGAAGGCTTCGGGCAGGAACTAATTCACCGTGGCGCGCGCCCTGGGAGGGTGCCCTGGGGGTGCCCTGGGGGGCTCCTGGGGTGCTCCTGGGGAGCTCCTGGATGGGCTCCTGGAGGGCTTCGGGCGGGAGCTAATTCACCGTGGCGCGCGCCCTGGGAGAGCCCTGGGTGGCTCCTGGGGGGCTCCTGGTGGGCTCCTGGTGAGCTCCTGGGAGGGCTCCTGGAGGGCCTCGGGCGGGAGCTAATTCACCGTGGCGCGCGCCCTGGAGGGGGCCCTGGGGGGGGGCCCTAGGGGGCTCCTGGTGGGCTCCTGGGGGTGCTCCTGGAGGGCCTCGGGCGGGAGCTAATTCACCGTGGCGCGCGCCCTGGGGGGTGCCCTGGAAGGCTCCTGTGGGGCTCCTGGGGTGCTCCTGGGGAGCTCTTGGGAGGGGGCTCGTGGAAGGCCTCGGGCGGGAGCTCGTTCGCCGTGGCGCGCGCCCTGGGGGTGCCCTGGGGTGCTCCTGGGGGGCTCCGGGGGAGCTCTTGGGGAGCTCCTGGGGGGGCTCGTGGAGGGCCTCGGGCGGGAGCTAATTCACCGTGGCGCGCGCCCTGGGCGGGCCCTGGGAAGCTCTTGGGGGTGCTCCTGGGTGGCTCCTGGGGAGCTCCCGGGTGGGCTCCTGGTGGGGCTCCTGGGGGGCTCCTGGGGAGCTCCTGGTGAGCTCCTGGAGGAGCTCCTGGGGGGCTCCTGGGGAGCTCCTGGGTGCTCCTGGGAAGGCTCCTGGAGTGCATCTGGACCAAGGGAGCCCAGGAGCGCCCTGGGGCATGGGCGGCGGCTGATTCACCGTGAGGGGCGCTTGGAGCTCACAGGCGCTCCAGAGGGACCCCCGAATCGCCACGGAACATCCCTGGGGAGCCCAGGAGCGCCCTGGGGCATGGGCGGCGGCTAATTCACCGTGAGGAGCGCTTGGGGCTCCCAGGCGCTCCAGAGGGACCTCCGAATCGCCACGGAACGTCCCTGGGGAGGCCAGGAGCCCTGGGGCATGGGAGGCGGCTAATTCACCGTGAGGCGCGCTTGGGGTTCCCAGGAGCTCCGGAATGCCTTCCGAATCGCCACGGAACGTCCAGCGCCCTTGGGCATGGGCGGCGGCTAATTCACCGCGAGGGGCGCTTGGGGCTCCCACGCGCTCCAGAGGGACACCCGAATCGCCACGGAACGTCCCTGGGGAGCCCAGGAGCGCCCTGGGGCATGGGCGGCGGCTAATTCACCGTGAGGGGCGCTTGGGGCTCCCAGGAGCTCCGGAGTGCCTTCCGAATCGCCCCAGAACATTCCAGGGGAGCCCAGGAGCGCTCTTGGGCATGGGCGCAGCTAATTCACCGTGAGGGGCGCGTGGGGCTCCCAGGCGCTCCAGAGGGACCTCCGAATCGCCACGGAACGTCCCAGGGGAGCCCAGGAGCGCCCTTGGGCATGGGCGGCGGCTAATTCACCGTGAGGGGCGCTTGGGGCTCCCAGGCGCTCCAGAGGGACCCCCGAATCGCCACGGAACGTCCCTGGGGAGCCCAGGAGCGCCCTGGGGCATGGGCGGCGGCTAATTCACCGTGAGGGGCGCTTGGGGCTCCCAGGTGCTCCGGAGAGTGCCCTCCGAATCGCACCAGAACGTCCCAGGGGAGCCCAGGAGCGCCCTTGGGCATGGGCGCAGCTAATTCACCGCGAGGGGCGCTTGGGGCCCCCAGGCGCTCCAGAGGGACCCCCGAATCGCCCCAGAACGTCCCAGGTGAGCCCAGGAGCGCCCTTGGGCATGGGCGGCGGCTAATTCACCGTGAGGGGCGCTTGGGGTTCCCAGGCGCTCCAGAGGGACCCCCGAATCGCCACGGAACGTCCCTGGGGAGCCCGGGAGCGCCCTGGGGCATGGGCGGCGGCTAATTCACCGTGAGGGGCGCTTGGGGCTCCCAGGCGCTCCGGAGAGTGCCCTCCGAATCGCCACGGAACGTCCCAGGGGAGCCCAGGAGCGCCCTTGGGCATGGGCGGCGGCTAATTCACCGTGAGGGGTGCGTGGGGCTCCCAGGCGCTCCAGAGGGACCCCAGAATCGCCACGGAACGTTCCTGGGGAGCCCAGGAGCGCCCTGGGGCATGGGCGGCGGCAAATTCACCGTGAGGGGCGCTCGGGGCTCTCAGGAGCTCCGAAGGTTTCCCCGAGTCGCCAGGAAACGTCTTTTGCAAGCCAGCCGATCGCGAGGTGCACGCTGGAAAACTTTAGGATTCGAGGTCGGAAAAAAATTGCCAGTGGCAATCCGTGTCTTTTACCGATTTTATGTAGGCGCCTCAGAAGGAGCCAGGGCGCCCCTCACGGTGAATTAGGCTGTAGTTTTGGGGTTATAAGTCTCTTTGACGATCGCCCAGGCGGGCACAGGATAATCGCTTGCGCGCAAGCCGCATCATTGATAATGAGATAAGGCCCTCGCGGGCCATGCCTGACGGCAACCGAGACTCACCTGGGCAGACCTGTGATTCACGTACGGCCAGGAGGTAGTCTGACTGCGAGGTGCCAGTTAGGGCGCTTGCCGCCTAAATGGGTGGGTGGATACGGGCCAAGCGGCCCTGGGCGAGTTTAGGGTTTAGGGTTTAGGGTTTAGGGTTTAGGGTTTAGGGTTTAGGGTGTCCTCTGTCAGCGCTTGCTGATCATCATTCGTGTAAGACCACCCCCACCCATAAAATGGAGTGGGGGTGGGGTAGTCGTGTTGTGGTGACATCATGTTGAGCGGAATCATGTTTCGGCTATGGGGCCAGCTCCCCTTTTCACATTCCCACCCCGCGCCCGTTAGGGCGGCGAACCACCCACGGCTTTCTCTATTAGGGTTTAGGGTTCATTCGGTAATCGAGGTTTTCTTTCTCTTAGGGCTCCACGATTCCAATCGGTTTGGCGATCTTTCTCATATGTACGCCAAAGAATGCTTTGTGTATCGCACGTACACAGATACCCTCTTGAGTTTTAAGGTATGCGCAATCCTGGGTTTAGGGTTGACGCTTTACGTCGGGGGAAAGGGTTTGGGGTGAAACGCCGCGCGGGCGTTTGATTGTGCGCTTGTGGCGCCGGCTCCGCTCGCTTCGCTCGCTCCGCCGACACCGCTCCTCTGGAACTACGAAATCCAGCTGGCGCGCCCAGAAGCGTCTTGGGCACTGGGCGGCAGCTGATTCACAATGAAGAAATGCTTTGGGAGGCCTTGGAAGAGCCCTGGGTGCCGCGCCTGGGAGCACCGTGAGGGGCGCTTGGGGCTCCCAGGCGCTCCAGAGGGACCTCCGAATCGCCACGGAACGTCCCTGGGGGGCCCAGGAGCGCCCTGGGGCATGGGCGGCGGTTAATTCACCGCGAGGGGCGCTTGGGGTTCCCAGGAGCTCCGGAATGCCTTCCGAATCGCAACGGAACGACCCAGGGGAACCCAGGAGCGCTCTGAGGCATGGGCGGCGAAATTTCACCGTGAGGGGCGCTTGGGGCTCCCAGGCGCTCCAGAGGGACCCCCGAATCGCCACGGAACGTCCCTGGGGAGCCCAGGAGCGCCCTGGGGCATGGGCGGCGGCTAATTCACCGTGAGGGGCGCTTGGGGCTCCCAGGAGCTCCGGAGTGCCCTCCGAATCGCCCCAGAACGTCCCAGGGGAGCCCAGGAGCGCCCTTGGGCATGGGCGCAGCTAATTCACCGTGAGGGGCGCTTGGGGCTCCCAGGCGCTCCAGAGGGACTCCCGAATCGCCACGGAACGTTCCGGGGGAGCCCAGGAGCGCCCTTGGGCATGGGCGGCGGCAAATTCACCGTGAGGGGCGCTTGGGGCTCCCAGGCGCTCTAGAGGAACCGCCCGAATCGCCACGGAACGTCCCTGGGGCGCCCGGGAGCGCCCTGGGGCATGGGCGGCGGTTAATTCACCGTGAGGGGCGCTTGGGGCTCCCAGGGGTTCCGGAGTGCCCTCCGAATCGCCCCAGAACGTCCCAGGGGAGCCCAGGAGCGCTCTTGGGCATGGGCGGCGGCGAATTCACCGTGAGGGGCGCTTGGGTCGCCCAGGCGCTCCAGAGGGACCCCCGAATCGCCGCGGAATGTTCCTGGGGAGCCCAGGAGCGCCCTGGGGCATGGGCATTGGTTAATTCACCGTGAGGGGCGCTGGGGGCTCTTATGAGCTCCAGAGGGACCCCCGAATCGCCACGGAACGTCACTGGGGAGCCCGGGAGCGCCCTGGGGCATGGGCGGCGGCTAATTCACCGTGGGGGGCGCTTGGGGCTCCCAGGAGCTCCGGAGTGCCCTCCGAATCGCCCCAGAACGTCCCAGGGGAGCCCAGGAGCGCCCTGGGGCATGGGCGGCGGCTAATTCACCGCGAGGGGCGCTTGGGGCTCCCAGGCGCTCCAGAGGAACCCCCGAATCGCTCCGGAACGTCCCTCGGGAGTTCAGGAGCGCCCTGGGGCATGGGCGGCGGCTAATTCACCGTGAGGGGCGCTCGGGGCTCTCAGGAGCCTCAAATTTTTCCCGAGTCGCCAGGAAACGTTTTTTGCAAGCCAGCCGATCGCGAGGTCCACGCTGGAAAACTTTACGATTCGAGGTCGAAAAAAAAATTGCCAGTGGCGATCCGTGTCTTTTACCGATTTTATGTAGGCGCCTCAGGAGGGGCCAGGGCGCCCCTCACGGTGAATTGGGCTGTAGTTTTGGGGTTATAAGTCTCTTTGACGATCGCCCAGGCGGGCACAGGATAATCGCTTGCGCGTAAGCCGCATCATTGATAATGAGATAAGGCCCTCGCGGGCCCTGCCTGACGGCAACCGAGACGCAACCTGGACAGGGCCTGTCATTCACGTTCGGCCGGGAGGTAGTCTGACTGCGAGGTGCCATAAAGGGCGCTTGCCGCCTAAATGGGTGGGTGGATACGGGCCAAGCGGCCCTGGGCGAGTTTAGGGTTTAGGGTCCACCAGGAAAGCGTGTAGAAAAACACATGGACGTCGATGACACACTGCCGCGGTGCTCAAACCCCACCCACCCTGGATTCCCATTACATACATCGGCAAACACCACTCGATGGAGGAACATTAAACTACGATGCGTCATCGAGTTGGCACGCGCGTACCCTAACGGTCGGGTAGGTCGGGTCGGGCGGACCCTAACGGCGGGTCGAGTCGGGCGGGCGGGCCCTAACGGGCGGGTCGATTTCGTCGTCGTCGTCGTCGTCGTCGTTTTCGTCGTCGCTTTCGTCGTCGGCGTCGCTTTCGTCGTCGCCGTCGTCGTCGTCGGTTTCGTCGTCGGAACTCCTGCTACGCCAACGCCACGCTGCAGGCGATCTTTTCCCTGCAGATGACGGAGGAGTTCTGTGGCATCGCGCCCGTCGATGACAGCGGGGGCGGAGCCCTCGTCGCCACCTTCCGCGCGGCCGAGGAGAGCAAGCTCTTCACACCACAGAGGTTCCTGGCTGACCACTACGAGCAAGACAAAGACCAGCAGGACGCACAGGAGTTCCTCCAACGGCAGGTGCTGCAAGCAGCAGAAACCTGGGCCACGCAGTGCAGCGGCGCCGACGCGCCCAAGCTCATGTGCCGACACTGCGGGATCGTTGGGCGCCCAACCGAGCGAGAAACGTTCTCCTCATATCCCTGCCCCTCCACTCCCAGGGCGGCGCGCCCTACCGCACGGCCGCCGAGGCGCTCCTGGGCTACCTGGACACGCGGCAGACTGTGGCGCTCAGGGCCTGGGCTTGCAGCACACCAGAGTGCGTCGCGCGCGGCGTCGCAGCAGACGACCCAGCGAAGATGCCCAACGTACTGCACTGGCCGCGCGTCCTCATCCTGCACCTCCTGCGCTGGGACAACAAGCAAATCCCGGTCCCGCACGCCGTGGCGCCCGACCGCACCCTGCACGTGAGCGGCACCACCTACGCGCTGCGCGCAGTGGTGACGCACGAGGGCAGCTCAGCTCGCAGCGGCCACTACGTGGCGTTCGCTTCGCGGGGCGACCGCTGGCACGTGTGCGACGACAAAGCAGTGCGGCCAGCCACAGAGAGCGAGGGGACGACGTTCGTGCGCGACAGGGTCAAGGGCCACACCTACCTGCTCTTCTACGAGAAGGTGGACTCGCCCGCGGTATCTGTGGCCCTGGACTGAGCGGCTGCTCAGCACCCTGCTGCAGCCGCCCCACCTGGTCTCGCAGCTGAGCGCAGCCCCAGCTCCGCTGCAGCGCGGCGCTTGAGGCGGGGACAGACGGACGGCGACACGACGAAGACGACGACGACGAGCGACGAACAACGCGGCGACGACGACGACAGGCATTGCAGCTCGCCTGCCGCGGGCCGCCTGGCAGCCCTGCAGCCCCGCAGCGCAGCTGCAGCGCAGCGCAGCTGCAGCGCGGCGCTCGAGGCGGGGACGGACGGACGGCGACGACGAAGACGAAGACGGCGGCGGCGAAGACGACGACGACGAAAACGACGACGACGACGACGACGACGACGACGACGACGACGACGACGACGACGACGAGCGGCCAACGACGCGGCGACGACGACGACGACAGACGACGGCGAGCGGCAAGCGAGGGAGGAGGACGACGACGAGGGACGCCGCTCCCCACAGCCCAGGGTTGCTCCACACCCCCCCAACGCGACTAACCCCGAGGTTTAGGAATTGTCCGCCGTAACAGGATGCGCGCCGCGTGGTATTATTTGATAAGGGCGGTGGGGGCTTAGGAATTAGCCGCCGCGGCCCGAAGTGCGCCGCATGATACGATTCGATAGGGATGGTAGAGGTTTAGGAATTGGCCGCCGCGGCCCGAGGTGCGCCGCATGGTACGATTCGATAGGGATGGTGGAGGTTTAGGAATTGGCCGCCGCGGCCCGAGGTGCGCCGCATGGTACGATTCGATAGGGATGGTGGAGGTTTAGGAATTAGCCGCCGCGGCCCGATGTGCGCCGCATGGTATGATTTGATAGGGAAAGTCGCAACAGATGCCGCGCGCGCCGAGGCGCATGTGCGCCGCATGGTATTTTTTGCAAGGGATCGCAGAGGGCGGACACCGCGGAGATACATCCCAGAAGAATTGGTTTACCATTTAAATTAATAATGCTTTAGGTTGTTTAGGGTTTAGGGTTTAGGGTTTAGGGTTTAGGGTTTAGGGTTTAGGGTTTAGGGTTTCTGCGCAGAACCATCCTATCCCCCCCTCCTCAGGAGGTAGGGGGGGATGGATGGATGCGTTCTGTCCCACCCCATCCACCCAGAGTCATTGCTTTTAGGGTTTAGGGATCTACCCCCCACGCCCCCCCCCTATCAAGGGGGGAAGGAGTGCTGGCGCCAGCCTGAGTGAATGATGTGCTTCCCAGAAACACGCGTGAACCGTAACAAGCGGTCGGGTCGGGTCGAGCGCACTCGAGGGTTCGCCCGACCTCAACGTGTTTTGCATAGGATTGTGGTGGTTTACACAGCGGGACGTAAAGATCCCCATAGCAGGCTCGATCAAGGGGCGCGCCTGGGAGCACGCATGATCAGTTTATGATATTTTTTGCATAGGATTGTGATGGCTTACATAGCGGGACGTAAGGATCACCATAGCAGGCTCGATCCAGGGGCGCGCCTGGGAGCACGCATGATCAGTTTATATGTTGTTTCGCATAGGATTGCGGAGGGGGCCGTGAAGATCCGAATAGCAGGCTCGATCCAGGGGCGCGCCTGGGAACACGCGTGATTAGTTTATACAATGTTTTGCATAGGATTGTTTACATAGCGGGACGTAAAGATCACCATAGCAGGCTCGATCCAGGGGAGCGCCTGGGAGCACGCATGATCAGTTTATCATATGTTTTGCATATGATTGTGGAGGGATCCGTGAAGATCCGCATAGCAGGCTCGATCCAGGGGCGCGCCCGGGAACACGCACGGTCAGTTTATACTATGTTTTGCATAGGATTGTGGAGGGGGCCGTGAAGATCCGCATAGCAGGCTCGATCCAGGGGCGCGCCTGGGAACACGCATGGTTAGTTTATAGTATGTATTGCATAGGATTGCGGAGGGGGCCGTGGAGATCCGCATAGCAGGCTCGATCCAGGGGCGCGCCTGGGGAGAGCTCCAGGGGAAAGCTTTGGGGAAAAGCTTTGGGGGAGAGCTCTGGGGGAGAGCTCTGGGAGAGAGCTCTGGGAGGGAGCTCTGGGGAGAGCTCTGGGGGAGAGCTCTGGGGGAGAGCTCTGGGGGAGAGCTCTGGGGGAGAGCTCTGGGGGAGAGCTCTGGGGGAGAGCTCTGGGGGAGCCGAGCGGTATCCGTGAGCATGTGGCCGAGGGTTAGGGGTTATCATTGTGCAAGCGAAGCACCGCCTCGTGCCGGCAGGCCTATGGTCGCGGTGAGCTCGACTTGCAGCTCGCTCTCACTAGCAGATCCTTACAGGCGTGGCGGTGCGCGCCCCCTGGTCCGCGCCTGCAGTTTAGGGTTTAGGGTTTAGGGTTTACACAACGTATTAGCGTCTGCGGACCTCGCGGCGGTGTCAATTGGTTCCCGCCAGTCGGCTTGGCTACGATCCTTCGTAAAACACGTGGGACTCGCATCGCGACGGCAAGATGTCGGGCCTGTCGATGCCGTGGTCTCTCGTAAAACACAACGGAGTCGCGTCGCGACGGCGTGCGCGGAGCGCTTGTCGGGCCACCCCGAACGCGCTTTGCGACATCGGCGGTTCAGTCATATACCGGGGACAGGAATTCTGCCAGGGGGCGCGTTGCCGGCCGCGTCGGGACTGGGGCCGCGGGATGAGGCTGGCGGCTCGGGCGACGACCTCGGACGGCTGGCCGGGCGGGCCAGGGGCTGGCCGGCGCTGCCAGCGCTTCGCGACACTGGCGCTTGAGTCATATACCGGGGACAAGGATTCGGCCTGGGGGCGCGCCTCCGGCCGGGCGGGGCTGGGGGCGTAGGGAAGCCGCGGCGGCCGGGGCCGCCGCCGCGACCGGCTGGCCGGGGGGAGCAGGAGCCGGTCGGCGCGTGGCGCGCGTCGCGACACTCGTTGCGGGTTTCTGGACAGAGAATCCTTTAGGAGAGACTTCGTTAGGAAGTGTCGGTGCGACCAGGTGCTAAACTTACCTGTGTTTGTGCGCCGCGGCAGCAAGCCGGGGCCGCCGGTCGGCTGGGAGGGGAGGGGGCTGGCCTGGGGGTCGGCCGTCGCCACGGGGCAAGGGTCGGGCGGGCGCTTCGCGCGCTTCGCGACATCGGCGCTTTAGTCATATACCGGGGACAGGAATTCTGCCAGAGGGCGCGTTGGCCAGCCGCGTCGGGGCTGGGGCAGCGGGATGGCGCTGGCGGCTCGGGCGACGACCTCGGACGGCTGGCCGGGCGGGCCAGGGTCTGGTCGGCGCTCGGCGCGCTTCGCGACACTGGCGCTGTAGTCATATACCGGGGACAAGGATTCGGCCAGGGGGCGCGCTTCCGGCCGGGCGGGGCTGGGGGCGTAGGGAAGCCGCGGCGGCTGGGGCCGGCGCCGCGACCGGCTGGCCGGGGGGGGCAGGAGCCGGTCGGCGCGTGGCGCGCGTCGCGACACTCGTTGCGGGTTTCTGGACAGAGAATCCTTTAGGAGAGACTTCGTTAGGAAGTGTCGGTGCGACCAGGTGCTAAACTTACCTGTGTTTGTGCGCGGCGGCAGCAAGCCGGGGCCGCCGGTCGGCTGGGAGGGGAGGGGGCTGGCCTGGGGGTCGGCCGTCGCCACGGGGCAAGGGTCGGGCGGGCGCTTCGCGCGCTTCGCGACATCGGCGCTTTAGTCATATACCGGGGACAGGAATTCTGCCAGGGGGCGCGTTGGCCAGCCGCGTCGGGGCTGGGGCAGCGGGATGGCGCTGGCGGCTCGGGCGACGACCTCGGACGGCTGGCCGGGCGGGCCAGGGTCTGGTCGGCGCTCGGCGCGCTTCGCGACACTGGCGCTGTAGTCATATACCGGGGACAAGGATTCGGCCAGGGGGCGCGCTTCCGGCCGGGCGGGGCTGGGGGCGTAGGGAAGCCGCGGCGGCTGGGGCCGGCGCCGCGACCGGCTGGCCAGGGGGGGCAGGAGCGCGGCGCGCGTCGCGACACTCGTTGCGGGTTTCTGGACAGAGAATCCTTTAGGAGAGACTTCGTTAGGAAGTGTCGGTGCGACCAGGTGCTAAACTTACCTGTGTTTGTGCGCGGCGGCAGCAAGCCGGGGCCGCCGGTCGGCTGGGAGGGGAGGGGGCTGGCCTGGGGGTCGGCCGTCGCCACGGGGCAAGGGTCGAGCGGGCGCTTCGCGCGCTTCGCGACATCGGCGCTTTAGTCGTATACCGGGGACAGGAATTCGGCCAGGGGGCGCGTTGGCCAGCCGCGTCGGGGCTGGGGCCGCGTGATGGCGCTGGCGGCTCGGGCGACGACCTCGGACGGCTGGCCGGGCGGGCCAGGGCCTGGTCGGCGCTCGGCTCGCTTCGCGACACTGGCGCTTCAGTATTACACCGAGGACAAGGATTCGGCTCGGGGGCGCGCTCCGGCCGGGCGGGGCTGAGAGCCCGGGAAAGCCGCGGCAGCTGGGGTCGGGGCCGCGACCCGCTCGCTGGGGTGGGAGGGAGGGCCGGTCGGCGCGTGGCGCGCGTCGCGATACACGTGGATGGGTCCGGACAGGGGTTCCTTTAGGAGAGACTTCGTTCGGAAGTGTCGGTGCAACCAAGTGCTAAACTTACCTGTGCTTGTGTGCGGCGGCAGCCGGCCAGGGCCGCCGGCCGGCCGGTGGGGGGAGAGCTGGCCTCGGGGTTGGCTGCCCGGGGGGGCAAGGCTGGGCGGGCGCTTCGCGCGCTTCGCAACGTCGGCGCTTTAGTCATATACCGGGGACAGGAATTCGGCCAGGGAGCGCGTTCCTGGCTGCGTCGGGGCTGGGGCCGCGGCCTTCTGCTCCTTGACCATCTCTGCATGTCCTTTGTTATCTCCATTTTCCTCCCTGCGGCTTATTTCTGTTGTGTTTGCGCTTCCATCCCCCCTGCTATTCTCCTGCGCGCAGGTGCCTGTGGACTCCGAGTTCGCGAGGACTCACTCGCTTTGGGCGCAAGTCCATTGCGGGTGTAAGACGTGGGCATCTCTGCGAATGAACCCGTCTGGCGTTCGTGCACAGGAGGCCTGTTCGGGCCCTCTGCGTTGGGCGCTGGTCGGTCGAGCATTCGCGGAGGTCCTTCTCGACGAAATCGTGCTATATGGGTGTCGCCGATTCCAGTTTGAGCGTGTGGTTGGTAAGGGTTTCTGCGTGGGTGTGTCGGTCTCATTTGGGAACGGGTTTCCTGGGGGATGAAGCGACATCCGTGTAGCACGGCTTGTGCCCTGCCGTGGCACTCTGGCCGTCGAGAACTGCGCGACGCGCACCACGTATACAGGGAGCGGGAATGATAGTACCGTGACCCAGTCAGAGTGTCCGGGGCCCTCTGCCGCGAGGGTCCTGCAGGGTACAGGCATATCTTGGATGTTCTCAGGTGTGAATGAACGTCTTCTTTAAGGCGGCGCAGGGTCATGGGCTGCGTCCGCGGGCCAAGCCTCGTTCCTCGGCCTCTCTCCGTAGATTTCTCGGCCCAAGCAAACCTTGGTGCGGTCTGCGAGACTGCTTCGAGATATCCGACATCTGACCAATGGGGCCGCCCATCTGTCAAGGGCGCGCGGAGCATGGTGCCAGAGTGCAATGTCGGTTCCACCAGACCCGGCCCGGTCAGGCAGCGCTGGCGAAATTCTCCAACAAGTGCACGTGGCGCAGCGCGGACGGCATGCAGGCCCAGTGCGCGGCGGGGGAGCGTCAGCGCAAGCTCTTAGGGTCTGCAGTAGACGCTGGCTCCAGCGATCGCCAGTGTTTCCGATTTGCTCAGGTGAGCGTTTCTTGTTCGAGCGATCCCCGAGACGCATCTGCGCGATGCATCGTGGCGCGGTTAGGGGTCGATTGATCTGGGTACGTGCTCCCGATCGCATCGGCGACCGATCGGGTTCGACCGATCATCAATCGCTTGCTTCCGCGCGATCGCTGTCATCCTAGGTCGCAGCTCGCGAAGTTCTTCGAGGCCGACCCGGACATCTTCGACTTGGCATCGCGCAGGATACCTGTCGACCACCAGAAGGAGATCGTAGAGGGTTACTTCGAAGAGGCGCTCGCCCGCGGAAGGGCCGCAGACGAGGTCGCAGACGATTCTTGGGAGATCCACAAGGGCGACGTGCGCAACAGATATCACTCCGAGCGCGGCAGTCTGACCATTCATCTGGTGGAAAAGGTGGAGGGCGCGAAGTGCACTGAAGAGGAGTTCGCAGAGTTCTACCAGCTCTACGACGCAAAGACGGACGACGGGGAGCCGATGTTAGACACGGGAGACATCATGCGCTGCATAGGCAAGCGCAAGAAGCGCTACGGTGAGTTCGCAGCCAAGGTCCGGGACATGGGCGCGGCCACGCGAGCCCGAGGGCGGCGGCCGCAAAAGCTCAAGGTCGCGATGCAAGAGTTCCTCGAGCAGCAGAAGGATGAGCCGCAGAGCGCCACTCAGGACGATGCTCGGCGCGCCGAGTTTGCCGCGCGCGCGGCGCCGCACACAGGGCGGTTGACCTTCAAGTCAGGCGCCGACGGGGCGGTCGAGTGCGTGCTCACGGAGGAGCAGAAGGCGCTGGTGCGAGAGATGCAGAGTGAGAGAGCTTCGACGCTGGAGTACTTGTTCAGCCGGAACAACCTCTGCGCGTGTTTCGGGATTGACGGTCACAAGTACCGGGCGCTGCTCGCGGCGGCCGGGGCCGACCCGCGCCAGGACCTGCAAAAGACGAGTGGCCTCGTCCTTGAGGAAGAGGCGGCGGACCGTTCGGGCGACCCGAGCGTCCAGTACGAGAAGAGTTGGCTGCGGTGGGCAAAGGAGCTCTCGCTGGATAGCCCCAGCGTCGTGTGCTTCGCCTGCGGCGTCAAGGTCTCCAAGCACCACTGCAAGCGCGAGTGCCCGTCAGACCTCATCGCACAGACCTTGCGCGAGGACGCCTCCGAGATTATCCCGCGCATCTGCGATTACTGCGTGCGGGCGGAGGATCGCGGGGCGCGCGTCTCGCGGGATGCCATCGACACGGGGAACACTCCGGAGCCGCTTCGAGGACTCACTCGCCACGAGGAGCGATTGCTCCAGCTGGTGGAGACGAACGTGGTCATGGTGCACGCGCCCAAGGGCGGCACGGCGACGGCGAAGGGCGGGACCTTCGTTGCGCCGCTGGAAGCGCCGCGCGCCTGCGAGGTGCTCGGCGGCGCCAGCATGGAGATCACCGACGGCGTGCTCTGGCTCCGGCCGCGGGGCGTCCCGCCCGGCTGGGCAGTCCCCGCGCGCGCTCAGAAGCTCCTCGACGCGCTGAAGTGGCTCGCGAAGAATAACGCATACTATCGCGATTTCTCCGTGCTGGGCCAGGCAACGGCAGCCATCAAGGCCCTCGAGACGAAGCTCGCTGAGAAGCTTGCTGACGATCGCCAAGCGATCGACCCGGAGGCCGAGGCGGCGGCGCAGGGCGCTTTCGAAGGAGACGCAACGTACTTCACCGCGGGCGGGCCCGCTCCGGTCGGCGCCGTTGTGGGAGACCTCCAGAAGAACCGGGAGTCGGCGGAGATTCGCCCGTTGACGGAGGCGCTGGCGTTCCCGACGCTGTTCCCGGGGGGCGAGGGCTCCTGCCCCGAAGAGCTTCGCTTCAGCAGCTACGCGTGGCGCCGCCTGCTGGACTGCAAGACAAAGTTCCAGGAGAATCCGGATTACACCTTCTACCAGCTCGAGACGTGGTTCCGGAAGAGCTTGAGCAGCGCGACGTCCGTGTTCGTGGGGAAGCGCGAGGTGCCGGGTCGGGAAGCGGCGGAGCGCAGAGCATACGCCGTGCAAGGTAAAGTGCCCGGCACGACCGCGTTCCTGGGCCAGAAGCGCACCCATTGCGTCCAGATGATGCGCCAGCTCGGGCGCCCTGATTTCTTCCTCACGCTCACGAGCCACGAGCGCCAGCCGCACATGCTCGCAGCGTGCGTAAAGGCGCAGCTCTACAACGACAGCCCCGGCCTGCCGCTTGATCGTGTGGAGAAGACTGTCGCCGCGCAGGTGCTGGCGTACACGAACGACCCAGAGCACAAGTGGGATGGCAGCCCGCAGTGCGACGAGAAGATCAAGGGCACGAATGACGCGGCCGCGGCGTGCGAGAGCGTCTCGGAGACCAGGCGAACTGGGATGACAGCTCTTCAACTGTGCCAGAAGTTCCCTGCAGACGTCGAGCGCGAGTGGAACCGGCAGTTGGAAAGATTTCTCAGCTGGATCACCGAGGCGCGGAAGACAAAGGGAGAGAGCTGCCCGCCGTTTCCAAAGCCGACTCTGCTTCGCGGCACGGAGGCGGCGGACGGTGGCGAAGCGCCCACGGGCGCCGAGGATGTCGGATACATGGATCTGCTCCAGGGCGACGTCAAGTGGGATTGCTGGGACGACAACCTGGACGAAGCGCCCCCCTTCGTCGCGCAAGACTTCGTCAGCCGCGTGGAATGGCAGAAGCGGGGCTTCCCCCATGCGCACATGCTGCTGTGGGTGGGCGACTGGGGGGCCGAGCGCGACGCTCGGCTCGCCGCGGAAGAGGTCGCGCAGCCGCACCCGGACGCGGCCCCGCCCGTGGCCGGTGACTCCATCTGGCGCGTGAGCAAGGAGCAGTTGGATCAGCTCCTCTCCGGGAAGGCCAGCGCGGTCGTGAGGCCGCGCGGGCTGAAGGACGCAGGGCGCAAGTGGTTGGCGTGCACTGCGGACGCGGGCGCCCAGATCGTCGCGGTGGCGCACGTGGCAGGCGCCCGGCAGGTCATGTCGCAGGACGAGTGGCGCCAGAAGAGTAAGGAGCACGGGATGAGCCGGCGGACGTGCCTCTACAGGAAGACGTTCCTCGTGCACGTGCGCATGGTGCAGCAGCTGGCAGAGGCGGTGCCGTACGCCGACCCTGGTGCGCGCGCCTGCGGTGATCATGTATTTCGCCCCACGGACGCAGGGCCGCCGACGGACAGGGTTCTCCTGTTGCCCCCGCCGCGCCGATACCTTCCCGACTGCGTGAAGGTCAACTGTATCTGGGACATCGACGCGGCGCACATGGACGTCTTGGCGTCTGGCTCCTCCACCGTCGTCGCGCGCCCCGTCGGCGTCGTCGGCGAGGAGCGGAAGTGGCTGGCGCGCGCCGTAGATTCTGGCGCCCAGATCGTGGGCTGGACATCCGCATCGGTAAACCGAGAGGTGCCGTCCGAGGAGGAGTGGGTCGCCGCCCGAGAGACCTACGGCCTCGTCGAGGACGCCCTCCCCTTCGCGCCGACGTTCCTCGTGGAGCTGCGAGCGCTGCAGCTGTTCGCCAAGCCCGTCGACTACGCGCCACCGCGCGCGGGCTCTGGAGTCGGCGGAGCCCCGCCGCCGCCGCAGCCGCACACGGAACCTCGCGGCGGTGGCGAAGCGGCAGAGCGCGGCGGCGAAGAGACAGAGGGCGAGCCGCCTGCAGCCCCAAAGCGCCCCGCGGCAGATTGGCTTGACGGGGCGGCTTCGGAGACGGACGACGAGCTCCTGGGCCCGTCGAAGGTGGACAACGTCGCCAGTATCTACGACGTCTATACGCGGACGACGGGGCCGAAGAGGTGGCGTGCAGTCTATCGTGACGGGGTGATGACGCTGCTCACGAAGTCGCTGATGCACAAGCACGGACCATACTGCGGGAAGTACTCGCTCGGACGCTGCCGCTTCGGGTTCCCGCAGCAGCCGGTGGAGAAGAGCCGAAAGAAGAGTCAGCGAGAGCTCTGGAACAACGGCTCCAAGAACAAGTACTTCGTGCGGCGCCGCAGCGGCGACACGATGATGGGCCTGTACAACCCCCGGATATTGCGCCGGTGGCGCGGTTCCATGGACCTCCAGGTCGTCGAGAACTTGCATGCGGTGGCTCGGTACATTCTGGGCTATTGCTTGAAGAACGACACCGCGAAGGACGCCGTGGGCAAGCTCAACCAGGAGATCGCGAGGGTGCCGGCGACCGGGCCTGTGACGAGCAAGCAAGTGTACCGCCTCGCTTACATCGGCACTCAGGGCCGCGTGACCTCCACGTTCGAAGCGTGCCACCACCTCCTCGGACTTCCCGTGGTGCGCATCTCAAGGGAGTTCCAGTGGGTCCATGCCGGCATGCCCGAGTCTTACTCGGCCTACGTGCCGCGGCACCTCTGGCGCCAGGCCATCGCGAACCCGGAGAACGCGCCCGAGCCCACGGCGCCCGCAGTGATCCGCCGTTATGCGGAGTGGCGCGCGGGGAAGGTCGCCGTCTTCGACGACACTGGGGAGCAGGTTCCGCTTCTCGTGGAAGGCAGGGCCGCCGAGAACTACGAGTGGGTGAGCCCTCGCGAAGTGACGCTGTTCGACTTCGTGGCGTCCTACTCGACGTCGTACAATTCCGACCCCAAGCTGAGAGCGCAGCCAGCAATCGTGTCCACGAAGGCTTTCGACCCCGAGCGCGAGACGGAGGCGTACTATTACTCCAAGCTCCTCCTGCACTACCCGCGGGCCGATTTCGATGAGGACGACGGGCCGGAGTGGCTGGTTCCCTCGGACGACGGCAGTCACCAGAGTGCTTTCGTCCGCCTGTCGAAGGCCAGCAATGAAGGAGAGCACGGCGACGAAGCGGAGGCGCCGCCAGCGGACGCCCCAGCGCGCGAGGAAGAGGCGGAGCTCCCTGCGCCCGACTTCTTCCTGAAGTCCACGGTCTTCCCGAAGCTGAACATCGCGGAGGCCGCGTGGCGGGAGCTGAAGCGGCTCAATTGCGCCCTCGTCATGCGGTCCGCCATGCAGACGCCAGGGGCTGCGGAGGACTGGGAGAACCACCGGGAACTGCTGCGCCGCCTCCGCCTTGCCGCTGGCCGCCCCGACGAGGAGGCCGACGACCTGGACCGAGACGAAGATCTGGAGGAGCTGGCGGGCGCCGCGCCGCACGCCATTAGCGCCTTCGGACCAGTGGCCGGCGGCGACGAGGCCGTGCAGTTGCTCTTCGGCCCCGACGCGCAGAAGTCCAAGCAGCAAGACATCGTCTACTGGTTCCTGGAGCAGGTGCGCCAGGGCAATCGCGCCCCCGCGCGCGTCCTTCTCCACGGTCCCGGCGGATGCGGGAAGTCCGTGGTCGTCCGCGCCGTCGCGCGCCTCTTGCGGACGGAGGGGCACGGCGTCGCGCTTGCGGCGCCGACGGGGTGCGCTGCCTTCCTGATCAACGGCTGCACCCTGCACTCCTGCCTCCACTTGCCAGTTGAGAACAAGTCCTTCGGCTACGCCTCGGACGCGCCGCCCCCTTCCGGGCCCGCGCTGGAGCACCTGATCGAGTTCTGGAAGCCTGTCCGCGTGCTGGTGATCGACGAGATCTCCATGGTCTCCGCGGAGATGCTCGCTCGGATCGACGCGCGGCTGCAGATCTACAAGCGCCAGCCGGGAGTGCCATTCGGCGGCCTTCACCTGCTCCTCTGTGGGGACCTCTACCAGCTTCCTCCCCCGAAGGGCCAGCCCGCGTACGCGGCTGTCCAGCTGTGGAAGATGTTCCTGCTCTGTGAGCTCGAGGGGAATCACCGAGCGGCGCGGGACCCCGCTTACGCCGCTCTGCTGGAGAGAGTCCGGAAAGGCCTGCACACCGAGGCCGACCTCGCGACGCTTCGGACCAGACTGCGCAAGCCACCCGCGGACAGCCGCGCGCCGCACCTACTGGCGACCCGGAAGGCTGTCCGTCAGGTGAACGAGGAGATGCTCGAGCGACACGCGGAGACGCACGGCTTCGAGGTGCACGCCGCGCCCGCGCAGGACACGTCGCACCGCACGGGGCTCCCGGTGGAGGTCGACACGGGCTACGACAATCCCGAGGACACCGGCGGCCTCGAGTCAGACGCGCGGTTCGCCATCGGGGCCAAGGTCATGCTCCGTCGGAATTTAGACATCAGCGACGGGCTCGTCAACGGCGCCCGCGGCATGGTGACGGACATCAAGCTCGCGCGGGACTCTGGCGAGGTGCTGAAGGTGCGCGTGGAGTTCGAGCGCGGCGGGCAGGCGGCACGCGAGGAGGAAGGCGACGCAGATCTTCCGGGCGTGCTCATCAGCCCCGTGCAGGGCGCTTTCCAGAACGAGGACGGCGAGCGAATCCTTCGCCGGCAGCTCCCCCTGGTGCTCTGCTGGGGCCTCACGATCCATAAGGCGCAGGGCGGCACGGAGACGAAGGGCATCGCCTTGAGCCTCGACGAGACAGTTCGCCAGCAGTGCCAAGCTTACGTGGGCCTGTCGCGGGTCGAGTGCCTGGCCGACCTGTACCTCACCGCGTTCGACGAGCGCGCCATCATCCCCGCGGTTGGCGTCGACCACGCGCTGCTGCAGCTCCGCCTGCAGCAGGGCTACGAGGCGGAGCGGGGCAACGGGCCGAACAAGTACTGGAGAGCGTGCTTCGCGCCAGCGCAGACGGCGCAGGAGCTCGAGGAGGCGATCGCGAGCGCGCCACCAGGGGCGTTCGCCGAGCGGCAGGCGGAGTTGCTGGAGGCGCGTGCCGCAGAGGAGCGCGGGGACAAGGGCGCGTTCACGTGCGAGTACTGCGGCGAGGGATGCGGGACGAAGCGCGCGCTCGCCACCCACAAGAGGGAGACCTGCACGGTGGCGAGGATGATCCGCGTGCGGAAGCGCGCGGCGGGCGTTCCGCCGCCGCCGCCGCCCCTGGATCCGGAGGAAGCGCTTGGCGTCTTGTCGAGGATGGCGGGCGGCGACCGCCGGCAGCGGATCACGGGGAAGCGCCTTGCCGCTGCCGCGGCCCAGCAGAAGGCGGCTGCTGGGCAGACGCCCCAGGCTGCCGCCCAGCGAGCCTCTGCGGAGACGGATGCTGGGGAGCTCTTCGACTCCGCCGCGCCGGCCGCGCCCGCGGTGCCGCCGCGCCGGAGGGCCAGGCTTGCAGCTTTGCAGCAGGCACCGGCCGGCGCCGATGAGCTCGAGGCCGAGGAGCGCACTTCTGCTGCCCCCGATGCAGAGACGCCGCCCTCGCCGCCGCCGCCGCCCAAGCGGCCCCGTCTCACGAGCCTGGCGCCGGCCGCGAGCAGCGCGGAGGCCGCGGCGGCTCGATCAGCCCCTCCCGCCGCGGCGCCCCCGCGCGCGCCGCCAGCGCTGAAGAGGCCGCGGCTCGCCGACCTCGCGCAGGCCGCGAGCGGCGCAGAAGAGGAAGCACAGGCCGCGAGCGGCGCCCAGGCCGCGGGGTCCGGCGTCGCCCGCGAGGCCGCGGGTTCCGGCGCCGATGGCGGCGCGCGCGCCAACGCGCCCGCCGGGGCCAGCGCGGGGGCACAGAGCGCGGCGGCGCCGCTGACGTGTCAGCCCGGTGGAAGCGTCGCTAAGCAGGGGATGGGATCGGCGACGGGGGCCGCGACTGGCTCGGGGCGCGCCGCCTCGAGCGGCCTGGGCGGAGCGCTCGGGCGTCGGCGCCCCTGCGGTTTCCGCAACGTGGGGAACTCGTGCTATATGAATTCCCTGCTGCAGGCCCTCTTCCCGCTGGCCCCAGTGCAGCGGATGATTGCCGCGACGCTGGGCGCTCTGGGCGACGAGCCTGAGGAGGGCCTGTTCGACTTGCTGCGACAGGGGAACAAGCTGGTGGGAACGGCCATAGCAGCCTGGCGCGCCCGCGGGGCGCTCGAGCCCGAGCTCTTCCTGGACTGGCACAGCGGCGAGCAGGAGGACGCGCAGGAGTTCCTGCAGCTGAATCTGTTGCAGAACGATGGCCCAGAGCTCGCGGAGCTGTGCCGCGGGATCGACTGGCCGCGGTTGTCGTGCCCTGACTGCCCTGCTTCTCGAGACGCTACAGGCGCCGAGCCCTTCACGATTCTCTCCTTGCCGCTTGTGGCCGCGGACGGCCGCCGAGCCTTTGCGTCGGTGCGCGCTGCGCTGGCGGACTACATCGAGGCTCCGTGCCCGGTGGAGGTGGACGACTGGCAGTGCCCGTGCGCGGGTTTCGTCGCGCACCGTGCCAGCGTGCTGAAGACGCACCGCATCACGTGCTTCCCGGAGATCCTCCTGCTTCACCTGGTGCGCTGGGACAGCTTCGGCCGCGTGGTGCCGCACCCGGTGGCAGCCGACGCCGTCCTCGAGGTGCGCGGCCCGGACAGCGTCGGGATCTTCTCGCTGAAGGCTGTGGTCGTGCACAGGGGCGCCACCGCCCGCAAGGGCCACTACTACGCCTTCGCGAAGTACGACGGCACCTGGTGGCTCTACGACGACGACGCCTCCCGCGTCGCCACCGAAGCTGAGATCGCCTTCTTCGGCGGCGGGCAGGGCGCCGCGGCGCTGACGAAGATCTACCTCGCCGTCTACGAGCGGCTCGACGCGGCGCAATGAGGCCCGCGGCAGCGCCGCGGAGATCCTCGCAGCGCGCTCTTCACTCCGACTTGGAAACATCGTCTTCGCGTCGTTGGTCTCATTGGCGCGATCGCCGCCTCCGCCTCTCTCGCAAGCCTTTCTATCGCCACGACCCCTGAAGTCCTCGCTGTCATCACCATTCTCATCATTTCCACCGTCGACACGGTCCAACATCCACGCCATTCCCGTCAGGCTCACCACCTCCACCGCCCTCATCATCTTCACGACACCTATCATCCTCGCACTCCCTCTACTCCCATCATCCCCCCCATCCTCACTAATCTCACCATCGCCGCCGTGCCCGCGCCCCCGCCATCTCCGCCACCCTCGCCATCAAAAGTTTCGAGGTTCGTTCCTTTGCATTGTCTTTCGCAATGGCACCATTCGAGCTTGCTCAATACGTGGTGTTTTTCGTCTTGAGGGTTTAGGGTTTAGGGTTTAGGGTTTAGGGTTTAGGGTTTAGGGCCTGCATTGGCGCAAGCGCGCGCTGGCTGCGATCCCCCCCACATCAAGGTTGTTGGGGGGGATCGCTGCCCAAGCCGCGCGCGCCACGGTTAGTCGCACTCCCGCCCCAGACCACCCAGAGTGAAGCCTTTTAGGGTTTAGGGTTTCTCCCCCCAACCCCCCTATCACGGGGGGCTGTCGAAGTGGCGCGCGCAGGCGATCGCCAACGCGGCCGTGGCACTGCGCATCCACGTGAGCACGCGCGCAGGGCGCGTGGCGTAGGCGGCGCTTCGGCTCGTCGCCCCGTCGAAGAGGCAGCCGTTGGCGATGGCGGTGATTAGCTTCGCCGTTGGGCTGCCGCTGGCGCAGCATGTCCATGCGTTGCCGCCTTTGCCTTCGGCACTGGGTTGTGACACTGGGCTGCGAATGCTGGGAAGCGCGCGCGGCCGCGGCCGTAGCAATGCGCGCCGATGCGAGCACGCGCGCAGGGTGCATGGCGCTGGCGCGCCAGCTCGCCTCGTCGATGAGGCAGCCGTTTGCGCCTTCGGCGTGGAGCTTCGCCGTTGGGCTGCCGCTGGCGCAGCAGATCCACCGGGGTCTGGCATTTGCCGTCGGCATTGGAAAGCAGCACTGCAAGGGCGCCGGCGTGACAATACTATGGGTTCCCCTGCGCTTCAAGCGAGTGTTTGCGCCCTCGGGCTCCTCGCTGACGGCGACGCGCACGGCAGTTGCATTCGCCCGCGGCTTTGGGTTTCGCCTTTGGGGTCGCCCCCCCCGCTGAAGCGATTGCAATCATCGACGCAGCCGCCTTCGGCGCGAGCTTCGGACGGCTGGAGGGGGAGCGCGAGGGGGTGGGTCTGGCACCCCCTCGCTACGATGCGCGCGCATGGCTGCGGCAGCACCTCCATGGCAGAGCCCGTGGAATGTCTTGGGGAGCGCTCTGGCAGCGCTGGGAGAGCACCTGGAGCTTCCCCTAGGAGCCCTGGGACTGCTTGGAACCGCCTGGGCACGCTTGGGAGCGCGCGGGAGCGCATGGGAGCGCCGCGTGGCGCCTTGGAGCGCTTGTGGGTGCTGAAAAGCGCGTGGGAATGCTTGGGCGCTTGGGAGCACCTGGGGGCGCAGGGGAGCGCTTAGGAGCGCTTCGGAGTTGTGGCAGCGCTGGGAACGCTGGGGAGCGCCTGCGAGCGCTTGGGAGCGCGCCAGGAGCGTGCCGGGAGCGCTTGGGAGCGCCTGCGAGCGCCTGGGAGCGCCTGGGGGCGTGCCGGGAGCGCTTGGGAGCGCCTAGGAGCGTCTAGGAGCGCAGCCAGCGCGCGCCTGGGAACGCGCCTGGGTGCGTGCCGGGAGCGCCCAGGAGCGCTTGGGAGCGCTTGGGAGCGCTTGGGAGCGCCTGGGAGCGCTTGGGGGCGCGTGGGAGCGTGCCGAGAGCGCCTGGGAGCGTGCCGGGAGCGCCTGGAGCGCCGTGGAGCGCTTGGGAGCGTGCCGGGAGCGCCTGGGAAAGCTTGGAAGCGCCTGGGAGCGCCTGGGAGCGCTTGGGAGCGCTTGGGAGCGCCTGGGAGCGCTTGGGAGCGCCTGGGAGCGCCTGGGAGCGCCTGGGAGCGCCTGGGAGCGTGCCGGATGCGCTTGGAGAGTCCTTGGGAGCGCCTGGAGCGTTTGGAAGCGCTTGGAGCGCCGCATGCGGTAATTTCATACGTTTGGAGCACCCAGGGAGCGCCGCATGGTGTATTTTCATAGGTTTGGAGCCCCAGGGGAAGCATCGGCTCATGGGGAAGCCACTGCTAGGGCTGAGGGTTAGGGGTTCCTTTTCTTGGGAGAACACCACGGGGATGCACCGCGCGGCGTGCGAATTCCTCCTCAGCGGCTATCGCCGCTTCGTCGGTGCGGCGAACGCCGTATGGGCAGGCTCGCTGAGCGCTCGGCCAGACGCCACGGGCTTCTGACGATGCACCGCCCGTGGCTTGCAGTTTAGGGTTTAGGGTTTACACAACGTATTAGCGTCTGCGGGTGTCGCAACGGTGTCAATTGGCCTGCGCTATTGCCGAGAGCGCTTCCGTGCGTGCCCGCTCGAAGATCGCGCTCCCTCCCACGCGGCGGCTGTCTGCCTGCGCTGTTCCGAGAGCGCTTCCGTGCGTGCCCGCTCGAAGATCGCGCTCCCTCCCGCGCGGCGGATATTTCAGTGGGAGCGCCTGGAGCACCTGGGAGCGCCTGGAAGCGCCTGGGAGCGCTTGGGAGCGTGCCGGGAGCGTGCCGGGAGCGCCTGGGAGCGCCCGGGAGCGTGCCGGGAGCGCCCGGGAGCGCCTGGGAGCGCCCGGGAGCGCGCCGGAGCGCCCGGGAGCGCCTGCCTGGGAGCGCCTGGGAGCGTGCCGGGAGCGTGCCGGGAGCGTGCCGGGAGCGCTTGGTCCCGCTTGGGAGCCCGTGGGGGCATTGAGAGCGCTTGGGAGCGCCTGGGAGCACCTGGGAGCGCCTGGCAGCGCTTGGCGGCGTGCCGGGAGCGTGCCGGGAGCGCCTGGGAGCGCCCGAGAGCGTGCCGGGAGCTCCCGCCAGCTGCGAAGCGCGCTGCGCGCGCTCCTGGGAGCGCTTGGGAGCACTTGGGAGCGTCTGTGAGCGCCTGGGAGCGCTTGTGAGCGCTTGCCGGGAGCGCATGGGAGCGCCCGGGAGCGTGCCGGGAGCGCCCGGGAGCGCTTGGGAGCGCTTGGAAACGTTTGGGACCGTGCCGGAAGCGTTTGGGCGCCCGGGAGCGTGCGGGGAGCGCCCGGGAGCGTGCCGGGAGCGTGCCGGGAGCGTGCCGGGAGCGCCTGGGAGCGCCCGGGAGCGTGCCGGGAGCGTGCTGGGAGCGCTCGGGAGCGCCTGGGAGCGCTTGGGCCTGGGAGCGCTTCGGGGCGCCTGGGAGCTTCGAGACGGCCTGGGGGCGCTTGGGAGCGTGCCGGGAGCGCCTGCGAGCGCCTGGGAGCGTGCCGGCGCGCTGTTCCGCAGCTGTTCCGCTCGCGCCGGCTCGCTCGGAGCGTCGGGTATGCTTCGGCGCGCCCATCTGGCGCTCGCGCAAGCTTGCGCCGGGCTCGCTTACATCGTTCGGCATGGTATCGTTTCACTGTCTTTCGCAATGGCACCATTCGAGCTTGCTGAATACGTGGTGTTTTTCGTCTTGAGGGTTTAGGGTTTAGGGTTTAGGGTTTAGGGCTTCTGCGCAGAACCATCCTATCCCCCCCTCCTCAGGAGGTAGGGGGGGATGGATGGATGCGTTCTGTCCCACCCCATCCACCCAGAGTCATTGCTTTTAGGGTTTAGGGATCTACCTCCCACGCTCCCCCCTATCAAGGGGGGAAGGAGTGCTGGCGTCAGCCTGAGTGAGTGATGTGCGTCCCAGAAACAGATATGTCAGCATTAGCGCGATTCGAGAGTCGTCCTTCGCGAAAGTTACGCGCGCGACCGCGACCCTTGCGGGTGCAGAGTCGCCCGCGTAGCCTTCCCCAGGGGCCGCCGCGTGGAGGCTGGACGTGGCCCCCTGGGTTTCCGCGCGGCAGTGGGCGCCGCGCCGCGCGCGGGGTCCGACGGGCTTTCTCGCTCGCGGACTCGGCGCGGCGCGGCGGCTACTCCCGCGCGGAAGCCCCCCTCGACTGCGAGCTTCCGCGTTCCTGGTGCAAGTCCGCGGAAGAGGGCACAACTGCGCCTTGCCGAGAGTTCGCGGGGGCGCCGTTGTTCGTGGGGTCGGCGGACGTCGGCTCTGCGACGCGCGTGAGCGCTGCGGGAGCGAGAGTGCGCGTGCGGTGGCGAGAGAAGCAGCACCAAAGGAGAGAAGCTCGAAAAAGACGCGCTTGAGAGAGCCCGCGGCCAAAGCAGCACCGAAAAGAGCTCGAAACAGACCGCTTTAGAGAGCCCGCGGCCAAAGCAGCACCTAAGGCAGCTCGAAACAGACGCGCTTGAGAGAGCCCGCGGCCGAAGCAGCACCAAAAAGCTCGAAACAGACGCGCTTGAGAGAGCACGCGGCCGAAGCAGCACCCAGGGGAGCTCGAAACAGATGCGCTTGAGAGAGCACGCGGCCGAAGCAGCACCCAGGGGAGCTCGAAACAGACGCGCTTGTGAGAGCCCGCGGCCAAAGGAGCATCCAAGGGAGCTCGAAACAGACGCGCTTGAGAGAGCCCGCGGCCGAAGCAGCACCCAGAGGGAGCTCGAAACAGACGCGCTTGTGAGAGCCCGCGGCCGAAACAGCACCCAAGGGAGCTCGAAACAACACCCTTGAGAGAGTCTGCGGCCAAAGGAGCACCAAGGGAGCTCGAAACAGACGCGCTTGAGAGAGCCCCCGGCCGCAGCAGCACCCAAGGGAGCTCGAAACAGACGCGCTTGAGAGAGCACGCGGCCGAAGCAGCACCCAGGGGAGCTCGAAAGAGACGCGCTTGTGAGAGCCCGCGGCGGAAACAGCACTCAAGGGAGCTCGAAACAGACACCCTTGAGAGAGTCCGCGGCCAAAGGAGCACCCAAGGGAGCTCGAAACAGACGCGCTTGAGAGAGCCCGCGGCCGAAGCAGCACCCAAGGGAGCTCG